GTGTGTGCGTGTGTGTGTGTGTGTGTGTGTGTGTGTGTGTGAAGCAGCAGGATGAACAGATGTCTGGACCGGAGGGGCTGGAACTCATTTTAGGAGCGATCATCAATCACATTAACACACATGCTGCTCATTTTCTCTCACACATGCATTAAAACGAACACTCGAGTCTAGGAAGTTTTAGCATATATTGTATTATTCTCAAATATAATTGTTTGATTAATTATATTTTAACAGTATTTTACAAAGACGTATGTTAGAGTAAGTATCATAAACTAAAATCAGAGACATTGTGTTTGATCTCTTATGGGTTTGTCTTTAGTTTTACATATCATAGCTTCAAACTGTTTCACTGAACATGAAAATAACAAACCAGCTGATCATTCGTTTGTTAGCAAACTCAGGATAAATTCCAGATCTGCTTCATTGTCTACAGACTCAAAGAAGTGAACTGAAATACATACTGCATTAATCACTATATATTCATACCTATTATAGTAACTAGCATTAGCCAAACAAACACATACAAACTTGAAATTGTGCATGAAATGTATTTAGGTTCATGTGCTGTTCTACTATTCATCATATTTACACTCTTCTGTATCCAGTCAGAATAAGCCCAGTGCATTATGGGTGTTGAAGTTTTCTCTGTTTACTTGAGTTATGTAGCACTGATTTAAAGCAAACTGTTTGAATAAAAGCTTTACTAAAGCCCATCTTGCCAGCAGTAATTTCCCCATTAAAATGATTCAGTCATGGTACTATACAGTATTTAGCTAACCTTTCAGACCACAGTTACTGCTATTACACATTGCCAACAGAGGGGAAAAAGAGAAGACACTCAGCCTTCAATAATACAGACAGTCGTGATATAAGAAAAACAAGTTGAACTTGCATAAGCAGTCAATGCTGTCCAATACATTTGAACAAACTCACTATCACCTGCTTTTCCAGCTGCGTGTATTTCATTTCCTTCATGCTTTCAACAGAATAAACTGAATTACTTTCAGAATTAACTTGATTCTACTGTAAGTGATCATTTATATCATTCACAAAAAATCAATTATGCATGTAGTTTTATGTATAATAGAGCAGATAAGTGAAGCGAGTGTAAACAGACTGGGAGTGAATCTGCGGACCCACTTTATATTAAATGGCCTTAACAACTATGTAATTACATTTAAATTATTTGGTACAATGCACTTATTGTGCACATACATGTTTTTACATTGTACTTATATTTTAAAAATACCTGCATGTAATTACATCTGTAATTAATTTCTGTAATTACATTTATAGTTACACTGTTGACCCATCCCTTACACCTACCCATACCACCAAACCTGTCCCTAACCGGACCCGTATCCACCTCAATAGCAGCAGAAGTGTTTTGCAATACAATATGAACACAATAAGTACACTGTACTTATTTTTTGATGTAAGTACATAGTAGTTAAGGCCACTTAATATAAAGTGTGAGTGAATCTGCTGCTGATGTCTGTGTGAACGATGTGCTGATATCTGAGAGACGTTAAACCTAACGACACACCGTCAGACACGACGACTCCTTCATTCACCGCATCACAGCAGACCTCCAGCACTTCAACAGACTACATGTGATCTTACACGTGTTATAAACACAAGCCTAGCTCTTAAATATATACAGTACACTCAATACAACATTTAGACAAACTTAAGATTTATGTATTTGAATTGCATATAATAATGTGATGCATATTTGTCAGTCATGCATGAAACAGATTTCTGCCTGCAAAAAAAATCATGGCAAGCTTTATTATTAACTATTTGCAACTATTTGATTTGACTTAAATACTCATATTTTCAGAATGCATTTAGGCTATTCAAATTGCATAAAATAAGCATACATTAGTTAATTGTGAAGTCAATTACATTTATTGAGTTAAAGAGTATGAAGATGGCTAGCTGTGGAATAAGCAACATTCAGTTAGCTAAAATACACGAGATTGAAACACACAAACTGGATTTATTACAAATGATGACATACATGCAGAGAAATAATACAGGCTGCTTTATTTTAAACACATTTTGTTTTTGGTATAAACCCTTTGTTCAAATGACTTAGAATGAGGTTTATGTTTGCATTTATATTTTTCCTCCCTTATTCTACACATTTGTGCCACGGTTTTCCCCATTTGCTCCATCCTTTGAACTCTAATGGAATGAACCCCATGCTGTAAACTCCTCAGACAGAGCGTCTGCTTCACAGAAGAGAACTCAGGAGTAAGATGAGATGAAGCCAGCTCCTCACAGTAAGTGTTTCTGGATCACTTCCAGATCTCTGGTTTCTGACTGATCATACTGTGATGGGCTGTATAGGACCTCTCTCTCCTTTAGAATACTGTAAGGAGTTAGTGTGTAGAAATGTCATGTTTTAGATACAGTTTGTTAAATGGCTCTTATTGAGTGTAGTGCCACTCTGAATGTAAGTGATTCACCACATCATCTCCTGCTTAGGTTGTTTAGCTTTGCACAACTCCTCTTCATTGTTATCTCTTCATGTCAGAAGACGTTATCTCTGAATAATAAATTCACCAGGAGCTTCGCGATGGAGATTGGGGTCTTCAGGAAGCCCCTCCTACAGAATCCAGCAGTAAGTGCAGAAACCCCGCTGTCCGATCCTTCAGACGAGAGGAAAACAGGCAGAACAGCTGAAGCTCTCGTTACACGGCTGCGGAGATGGAGTTTGTTAAAGAGGAACGTGAAGATCCAGAAACATGCGGAACCACAGACGAAGACAGCGGCGAACAGAAAGGTTTGAGTCTCAGCAGTTCACCAGATCATCTGTGACTGCAGTCAGACAATCACAGCATCTGGGAGTTGTTTATTCATTCAGTCATTCGTTTATTTCATGGATCATAGCTTTGTGTCGGTTCGGCGAAACACTCAAAGCACGCGATCTCTAAAGCATGTGCATAACTTTCTTTTGCGGTTATTATATGGCAGAATATGACCGAAGGTCAGTAGCAAATGCATTAACTGTGAGGAATACTGATCTGTGTTTGTGTGAGTGAGAGAGTAAAGAGCATCTGTCTGCTGTAGCGCGGTACAGTTTGTGTTTTCAGCTTTAGTTACTCTCAAACTCACGCAGCGCATTTACAACCAACAGAACAGCATCACATATCACATTTCAATCCAGTATTATTGAGGATGTTTGATTAAAACAAATGTAGGCCTATGCATTTCTTGTTTTATTATAAAGAAATGAACGGAATAAAGATAGAGTACAACGGGGCTAAAGGCGCCTTTGATATTATTTTCCTCTAAACCACTAGATGGCAGAAAAACGTGGCGCAGCACTTTCCAAAACATCGCTTTTCAAGATGCACGTGTATATTTGTATGATCGCGCGCTGCAGCGCAACGCTGATTCTGGGCTTACTTGATCTAATATTTTATGCTTTTTAAAATGTTGTAGTAGATTTAAGTAGCAAATGAGAATCACTAAAATTAATGCATATATTTTGAGACAAAGGTCTTCTTAACGATTTTCAACAGTTTTTAAATAACAAAAGAATATGTAAAAGTAAGGTATTTGGGGTAAAAGCGCCCCTGCTGTTGGGGCTAACGGCACAGAGTAATTAACATGATAATTAATAGATGGCTGACTTTTCCATTTGTTGACATGACGTGTTAGATTCAGATGGTAAATATCATATATAATGTTGAGTATCCTTATTAGAGATAATCACCATGTTTAGAATGAAACCATCATTTTTAAAAACATGATATTAATCATATCATATAATAAAATATAATTTGTTGTTACTACTGTAAATATATATTCAATTATTATTGGATCTCCTTCAATTCTTTCAGAATCTTTACTTATTAAAATGATTTTGTTTCTGTATTTTAAATATATTTCAACATATTTTAATGACAGTATATTTATTGAACAAAAATTAATTATTTTATTTTCCAAAATAGTGCACACTTTGCTAAAGTGATTGGTTTGAACAAGTATTAACTTAGACATTATAAAGTATTTGTATAAATACTGTGTGCCTTTTACTCCATGTGTGGGGAGCAAAATATACATTTATAAGATTTTTAAACAAAATAAACAGCTTGTATGATTTATTTTCACACAACATCTGTTGCTCCATTAATGTTCTATACAAACATATATACTGTATATTTTTCTGCAATTATACATTTTAGGCGCAGTGAATAGCACATTTTTTCTTAAGGTGTGCATTTAGCCCCGTTGTACCCTATTATATAAATAAATGATATGTATTATAATTTAGCATAAAGCAATTATACATTATGTAAGGATATTAAAGTATTAAAGTGCATTATATAGTACAGTTAGGTTCTTTGCAAACCATAATTTATATGACTTCAATGTTAAACCCCTCAAACAATACCTGATCAACAGCTGCAAACAAATAATTCAACTAAATGTAAAGAATATAAACAGAAACTGGACATTTTTGCCCCATATCTCAAATTCTGGGGATATTGTGGTTAACTGTGGTGTCGTCTCTGCCCCGAGGCCTCAATGATTTCTGACTGGCACATAACCAAACAGACTGAACAAGTGTAAGCATCCTACAAACATGCTTATTTATGTTCATGAATTTCCACAAACAGCAAATATTATCAGACGTTTTTACTGACAGGTGAAGACTGTAATACTGCTGTTGTCCAGGAGATGTCCAGGACAGGATAAAGACTCCTTTAAAGGGACAGTGATCATAGTCCTTCCAAACCTGAAAGACTTTCTTCTGTGGAATATGAACACAAGACTTTATGAAGAATTTTGATAACCAAATAGTTAGTTCCCATTGACTTCCATTGTAAGGATGAATAATCCAGTGGAAGTCAATGGGAACTGAAACTGTTTGCTGACTAACATTCTTCAAAATATCTTCATTTACACTCGACAGAAGAAAGAAAACTCATTCAGCATTGGAACGACATGCCAGCTAATGATGAACATTTTCAGTTTTGGCTGAACTATCTCTTTAAGTCTAATCTCTTTCTGTCCATTTCCATCAGTTGGAATGAATTGGATAACTGAATTATTTTCTTTTTCTACCATGTAGTCTTCAGTTATGACCGTTTGTTTGTTTGTGTGTAGTATTTTAGCATCACAGTATTACTATGAAATAAATATATGTTTAAAATGTTTTTTGTAACCTAAAATATGAGAATGTTAACATTTAAAGCATGTAAAAAATGACATTTTCAACCATTTTTTTCTTTTTCTTTTCAGACCTGATGGAAGAGGAAAGTGAAGAAACCATTGAAGCTGAAACAGAAAGTGAAGAACAGAGTGAATGGGAAGAGGAAGGCGAAGAAATAAGTAAAGTTGAAGAGGAAAGTGAAGAACTGAGTGAAGAGGAAAGTGAAGAAGAACTGAATAAAAACTCTTCTAAAAAGAAAGTGTCACAAAAAAGAAAGTCGTGCACCTGCGGTCAGTGTGGAAGGAGTTTCACGTGTAAAAGAAGCCTGATGGAACACATGAGAATCCACACCGGAGAGACGCCTTTCTCCTGCACTCACTGTGGAAAGCTGTTTAAATACAAAGGAAGCCTTACCGATCACGTAAGAATCCACACTGGAGAGAAGCCGTTCAAGTGCACTCACTGTGGAAGGAGATTCACACACAGAACGAGCCTTTCAGGACACGTGAAAATCCACATCGGAGAGAAACCGTTCACATGCCAGCAGTGCGGGAAGGGTTTTAGAAGTAAAACATACTACAATAATCACTTAAAAACTCACTCTGATGTGAAGCCCTTCATCTGTCTTCAGTGTGGGAAGGGTTTTAGTTTGCCATATCACCTGAAATCACACGAGATCGTTCACAGTGAAGTGAAGCCGTTTCACTGCCCTCCATGCGGGAGGAGTTTCAGCAAAATGACTGAACTTAAAAGACATTTAAAGTCCTTAATACATAATAAATACCTGCCGCTAGAGAGATTCATGCTCCAGAGTGGCTCCTCAGCTCATGGTTTGCCCTCAGGACTGAATGTGTCCTTCACTAAAACACACCTCCTGCAGTGAAGTTCTTACCATTTCTGTCGTGTATTAAATAATGAAAACATGTCTGTGACTGTAAAAGGATGCTTATCTTTAACATTCAGGAGTAACACTTTTAAATGAATAAAACTACTTGTGTATGGTACCATTCAAGAACAACGTCTGGCTCTTATTTCTTCATGTATATCCTTAACAATTCAATGAATCAAAAGTGTTTGAAAGGAGAAGCATTGAGAACTGAGAATTCTTCCCTCCTAATAGTATTAAGAGCCTAAACGAGTGCTATGGTGTTTAAGTCAACTCTTACAATGTGGATGAAAACATCAGTACGATGTTTTCTGATCAATCTCACTTCCCTGTCATTGTCTGGTGCAGTGGTTCCCATCCATGTTCCTGGAGTCCCCAGCATGTCTCCTTAATTAATCAAACACACCTGGTTCATCTCATCAGCTGAGATCTGAAATGTGTGTCGAAATGTCAGTGATGTGCTCCAGAGTCGCTGCTCTAGTAACTCTAAAGACCTTAATAAGCTTGCTCAGGAATCTTTAGGGGCTTTCAAACTGAGTAGTAATGGGAACTCAATTATAGGAACTAGCCACCAGGTTGATACCCCGAGAAATCAATTTTCCGGGTTGCATTCGCAAGTGATGTAAACCTGCTGACAGCGATGCTATTTAAGTATGGCACTCAACATCAACAGCTGGAGGACGGAGGATGGAGAAGTGTCTGGACTTTCAATTGCCGTGCTTCTGAACTTACTGTTGCAGTCTATTGTGACAGTTTTTGTGCATTGCTGGTGGTTTCTGCTGTTATGAGGCTGATTGTATCTGTAACAGTAGCTATGAGCAAATGTGAAAACATAAAACGTTTTTATTTAGCAAAAAATAGCAGAGCAGCGGCCATTGAACTGAACGGGCGCATTAGCGGAGCATCACGGTAACACAATTACTGTTTCCCAGTCGTTACAGTCTGTTACTGTTTCCCAGTCGTTACAGTCTGTTACTGTTTCCCTGACGTTACAGTCTGTTACTGTTTCCCTGTCGTTACAGCCTGTTACTGTTTCCTGTCGTTACAGCCTGTTCCTGTTTCCCTGTCGTTACAGCCTGTTACTGTTTCCCTGTCGTTACAGCCTGTTACTGTTTCCCTGTCGTTACAGTCTGTTACTGTTTCCCTATCGTTAAAGTCTGTTACTGTTTCCCTGTCTTACAGTCTGTTAATGATCGACAGCAGCTGATATAAAGCGCAGTGACACCAGCACTAGACTGATTCTCATGCTTTCTCCCCTAAAACATCTGCTTCTGTCGCCAGTGCTGAAGAGAGTGAATGAGCAGACAGAAACTGAGAAATACTTAACATGCATATGGTCATTTTCAGCACAAATAAAGTCCATAAACACGACAGGTATGAATGTATTTGGTGTTTTTAGTCGGGGCAGTGCAGTACAAAGAACACTAAGTTCACTAATAAAATCCCTCACAGATCTTCAGTTTCTGGCGATCTGATCACATAAACCCTGATAGAGTTATGATTAATTCCACTGACATATGTGTGACAGCGACAGTAATAACAACCAAGAGAGAATCATAATATCAGGTTATACAGTGATAGTACATGTAGGCTAAAATGACATGTTTTTGATTTTTTGATTTTTATAGAACATAGAAGTAACATATATAGCCTAAGCTACAGTATGAATCATTATCAACTACAAAAATGTGAGGAGCAGAGTTTTACATATTCATTTTAATGAATAAAAACTTGACAAGATTTGAAAAAAGAAACAATTTTACAATATGCTGAAAATATAAGTTATTATTATAATAGCAAGAAATATTACTGAAAGTCTTACAGTTTTTTTTCAACTACTCACACACATTTTCAAAACCTTGCCTCTTTTTTTTCATAACTTTACACACAAATCCAAGAAATACACACAAAAAGTAAAGTGCCTCGCATCTCTTGCAAAATGAAGAACTGCATTCAAAATATCACAAACACATCTCAAAAGCAAACATTTGCAAACACCTTTGCCATAATATTAATTCCTGTTAGATTATTGTGTGTTGTGTTTTACAAAAAGTGTTTTATGAAATTGAAAACTGAGTCAAAGGCTGAGATTAGTGTATGGTTTTGCAGATTCGGTGTGACAAGTGAAGATGCTGTGTGCAAGCAGCTGAAAAAAACTAATACAGTAAGAACAGAGAGCGGTGAAACATGACAGAAATAGAATCGCTTCAGTCGTCTGTTGTCTGTATCAGAAAGATTTCAGCTGGGTGTTTTATTTTAATACTCACACAAACAGGTTAACTGGAAATCCTCTTACTTCATATACATATTTAATATTCATGAGTGATGATATGATGAATTCACTAAATACTAATAATGTCTTTCTGCTCTATATCTGCTCCAAAAGATAAATGACCGATTCGAGTTACTGTGAAGATGGAGTTTGTTAAAGAGGAGAGAGAAGATGTGAGCGATGAAGAAACACACAGAGAGGAAGATGAAGATAATGATGAACAGAGAGGTTCTCGACTCTTCATTAATGACTGATGTGTGTGTGTGGGGAAAATTATATGAGCTGTTAAATAATGGTGTTTTTTTTCAACTAGTAATAATAACATTAGTTTTACTATTTTCTCAGGTTCTTGGGTAGGGATGTAACGATACAAAATGATACAAAAAGAAAAGAAAAAAAGATGGTTCTGTATGTACCTCGGGTTTGAAGTCATGGTTCAGTATGTTTTAAATACAGCAGTGGAAAAAGACAAAAACAAAATAAACTAAAATTTTTAAATTTTCTTTTTTATTAAACACTGTAATAGTACATCACTGATAGTAAGATGAGATGTAAAGCAGGTCTCAGGTGTGGGAAGCTCTGCATGTGCAGTGGATAAATCAACACTACACACATGCATCCATACTGAACGTTTATAGTGTGAATACCTGAATCACTACTGTAGACCTCTAAATATCATTAGTGATTGTACTTCATTAAGTACATTAATTATAACATGACTGTTGTCATTGGTTTGTGTCCAGCATCAGATCATGTGTTCATCTGCCGAGAGATTACAGATCATTTAGTTTCTTATTTGACCTCATTGTCTGAACTGGTTTTAGATCTGCTGGAAGTGAAGATGGAAAGTGAAGAAGTGAATGAAGATCATCAGAAGATCATAACTGCAGAACAAACACAGACTGAAGATGATTTCTCCCAGAAGAGAACAGGAGCCAAGAAATCTCCGTTCAGCTGCACTCAGTGCGGGAAGAGTTTCACGCTCAAGGTCAACCTCAACAGCCACATCAGAGTCCACAGCGGAGAGAGAAACTTCAGCTGTCTGCAGTGCGGCAGCAGCTTCTTCAAGAACGCAGACCTGAAGAGACACCTGCAGACTCACAGCGGAGAGAAGCCCTTCAGCTGCTCGCACTGCTCCAAGAGCTTCACACGCAAGCAGAGTCTGGAGAACCACATCCGGATCCACACGGGAGAGAAGCCCTTCACCTGCCTCCTGTGTGACAAGAGCTTCATCCGCAAGCGACACGTCAAGAACCACATGCGGATTCACTCCGGAGAGAGGCCTTTCACGCGCCACGAGTGCGGGAAGAGCTTCACACAGGCTACGATCCTCAGAAACCACCAGCACTCGCACTCTGGAGAACGACCCTTCGGCTGCGATCGGTTGCGGGAAGAGCTTCATCTCAGCAAAGCACCTGAAGATACACCAGAAAATCCACCAGAAGCTCCTCCTGTGCTCCTTCTGTGGAAAGATGTTTTCACAGCTGGGTTACCTGAAGGAGCACCAGAAGATCCACACCGGAGAGAAAGCTCACGTGTGCTCGGTGTGCGGGAACAGCTTCTCCAGAGCCAAATATCTGAAGGAACACCAGAAAGTCCATTCGGGAGAGAAACCCTACAAGTGCTCGCACTGCGACAAGAGTTTCAGTCAGTCGGGGAACCTGAAGATACACGAGAGAGTTCACAGCGAAGAGAAACCGCACCGCTGCCCGCCGTGTGGACGGAGCCTCATCACCTCCAGCGCTCTGCTGTCGCAACGGAGAAACTGTCTCCAGAACTTATCCCAGTGAGGAGATAAACTGATTATTCATTATTATTTATATGCATAAATAAGCTTTCCATTGATGTATGGTTTGTTAGGATAGGACAATATTTGGCTGAGATACAACTATTTGAAAATCTGGAATCTGAGGGTGCAAAAAAACTAGTTCTTAGCAATGCATATTACTAATCAAACATTAAGTTTTGATATATTTACGGTAGGAAATTTACAAAATATCTTCATGGAACATGATCTTTACTTAATATCCTAATGATTTTTGGCATAAAAGAAAAATGTATAATTTTGACCCATACAATGTATTGTTGGCTATTGCTACAAATAACCCCAGCGACTTAACACTGCTTTTGTGCTGCAGGGACACATTTGCTTGAACATCTACATGCTGAAGAGTAGCAGCACTTTCTACATTAAATACTTTAACTGTGTGCAGTAACATTTCTCAGACAATTAAAATAAGTCTATAATTAAGTCTCCATGCATATCCGCAACAAATTCATTATATCAGTCACAGTTTATGAGAGTGAATTGAAAAGACGTGCAGTGAGAACATGAGGAGATCAGAAGTGTGCTGGAGAACTAAAAACTACAGCTCTGATGTAAATATGAAATAAACACCTTTGCAATACACAAACTGTGTACATTACATTGATCAGTTTGGCCATATGTTCATTCATTGCTGAATAAGGCACATTAATATTATTTATTGGCTTTAACCAAGACCACTGTATTATGCTTGGATTGTACATGATGAAATGTCTGTAAACGAGAGCAGAATGTTGTACAGAGCTGCTCATTTAATGAGCACAGATGTGCTTGAGTTCAGCAGATATTCAATATTATTTCAACATTGTGTCTCAATTCTGTGGTAATAAAGCTTTTATTTTCACAACACTCCTCCAGATCTTACTTTATGCTTGTGGGGACAGAGGTAAGGAACACATT